CCAGACCATGTGCTGACACATTCCAGGGAGGTGAGTACGTTGGCCGCTGTGCAGGTGAGGACGTTAGGTTGTGAAAGAGCCATCTCCACTGGGCACGGCACACGACCATCTGGGGCTAGAAAGAATGTATACACGGCAAGACACAAAGACTCCAGAAAACACTTGATTCCCATCTCACTCAGACTAGATGAGCATCACCACGTCTGCCTAGTGAGCCATCTCAGCCCACAGCCCCGGGGCCTGTGGGCTTCTCCCTCATCCGCCTGAGTCTTCAAGGCTCAGAGGACTGAGTGGATGGTGTGATGTGCAGCCTCGCAGAACTGTCTGCATCAGGAAGAACGGCCCGCAGAAAAGCAATACTGAAAATAGGAGGTCGCTGTTGCTTTAATGAAGCCTGAAACAGGTGGGCCAGGAAGCACTGCCATTCCTGTGCGATCATCCGCTGGTTCTACTCTGTTCAGTCAACAGAGGGTCATGACGCAGTCACGAAGCTGACCTAGAGGGTGGGCAGCCCAGCACTGTCCGTCTACACAGCTCCTCCCGCCAGGAACGCAGACTGGACTGACTCAGACAGCAGGACAGGCTGAACCATAAATCAGCTTCTATTCACTGGCCATTCCTTGGGTTTGAAGCTATTTTTATAAAAATTGAGGGTAGAGCAGTTAAATCTGCTGTGAATTTAACTGGGTGAGAACTGGAAAGGAAAAACACTGTCGGTAAATAATTATTTGTGAACATTACGCAAATGTTTAATCTCTTGAGCCCTGAAGTGGGTGGACAGGGAAGCAAAGGGAGGTGAGGTGCCTGGAGGCCTGTCCGTGGGACGAGGGAGGGCCCCCCGGACTGGTTTGCACTGACCTGTGTCCCTGGGTGGGTGTGGGTGTTTGTTCGTGTGGACTCTCCCCATGCCTGAATCAGCCAGTTCTCAGAGAGCAGCTTTTTTCACTTTGGGGGTCACCACTTAGCAGCTACAGCATGCACCCTCAGTCTCTCTGCAAACCCATGACTTTGGCCACCAGAGAGCTGGGGAGGGGAGAGTGGAGGCTGGGTCCCAGGGCTGGCGTGGCGCACTGGTGCACCACGGGGGGGGTTGGTTGCCACCCCTTCTGTTCTGCTCCATATCTTACTATCAACCCTGAAGCAGGCGACCCCATCGTCCAACACCAGCACCATCCGCCAAGTGACAGAGGCTCGCCACCCCCTGGGGTGCAGGGGCCCTGCCCGCTTGGCCCTGTTTCTCTCCGCCTCTGCACAGAGCATACCTGGCCGCCCTGCCTGGCCGCTGCTCAGCCCTCATGTCCTCACGCCCCTTCCTGAGAACCGCCCACACCTGCCCGCGCTGCAGGCTCCCCCTCAGCCTGGTCCTGGTGCCCTCAGGCTCCTTTGGGGACAAGCAGTGCAGACATCCTTCGAGCACCATCACAGCCGCAGGTTCAAATCCACCGAGGCTGTCATTGTGCCGGCTTGCCGTCCTTCTCCTGGCATATAACGGGGCCTGTTCCAGATTCTCCAACTCAATCAAGGAGAGAACCGGGCTTATTCCGATGCCACTTTCCACTTGCTCTTTGGGCTCACTAGCCTGGTTTCCACATTCTCAAGAAAAAACAAGACACCATTTACAGATAACTTCAATAATGTGTTCTAGCACATTCCCTTCTAATGTTTGACATTGGAAGTTTTAAAGTTTGTATAGACAAATCTATTGATGTTTTCTTTTGTGGTTTCTTCCGTTGCTTATCCCATCCCTCCCTATCCCAAGGTTAGCCCTATTGTCTATTTTTTTGTTTCTTGGTTCGTGTATGCTATGAGGTAGGAATCTAATTTCAGTTTTTACATGTAATATTATTCCTCTACTTTTAACACCTTCCCTATCTTACATCAAGTTCTTATATAAACACATATGTTTTCTATTCCATTGATCTATCTTTGATCTCTTGTCCTTCATTTGCCTACTTTGATTCAATACCACTGTGTTTTAAATACTATAGCTTAATGATAATTTCTTACATCCAATAATTCAAGTTCTTCCTCTTAATTCTTTTTTTTTAGAAACATTTTGGCTATTCTTAGATATTTTACTCTTTCATTGGCGACATTCCACCAAACAATTTGTTGGAATTTTTGTTGGAATTGCATTGGATCTACAGGTCAATTTCTGTAGAATCTACTCTTCCTGGATATTGATCTCTACATTCATGAAACCTGGCCTATTTCTCTATTTGGATCGTCCATGTCTTTCAATAATATATAATAATTGATTCCATAAAGTTCTTGTACATTTTTGTTTGTTTTCATTTGAAGTAACTTGTAGTTTGCTGCTATTGTCTTTTTTTTTTTTACTATATTTTCTATTTGGTTATTGCATTAAGGTGTTATTAATTTTTTAAAACCAACTTCATTAAAGTATAATTTACACAAAATAAAATGCACACATTTTAAGTGTACAGTTAGATGAGTTTTGACAAACATATACACTCATGTAACCGATACCTCAATCACGATACAGAATGTTTCCATCACCTCATAATGGTTCCCAATCTTTACCCATAACCTGGAGCACCACAGATTCACTCATCTGCTTTGTAGCACTACAGATCAGATTTGTCTTTCCTAGAATTCTACACAAATAAAATAATACAGCATATACCTTTTGTCTCTGGCTTTCTTTGCTCAACATAATGGGGTTTTTTTGTTTGTTTTTTGGGGTTTTCTTGGCTGCATTGGATCTTCATTGCTGCGCGTGGGCTTTCTCTACCTGCGGCAAGCGGGAGCTACTCTTTGTTGCAGGGCGCGGGCTTCTCACTGCGGTGGCTTTTCTTGTTGCGGAGCACAGGCTCTAGGCACGCGGGCTTCAGTAGTTGTGGCTCGCGGGCTTCAGTAGTTGTGGCACGTGGGCTTCAGTAGTTGTGGCTCGCGGGCTCTAGAGCGCAGGCTCAGTTGTTGCGGCGCATGGGCTTAGTTGCTCCGCGGCTTGTGGGATCTTCCCCCGCCAGGGCTCAAACCCGTTTTCCCCGCATTAGCAGGTGGATTCTTAACTACTGCGCCACCAAGGAAGTCCCAACATAATGTTTTTAAAAGCCATCCAGATTGTGTGTATCAGTAGTTAAGTCCTTTACATTGATTCTGCTGTGTAGATGTTCTGTAAATTGTGTATCCACTTACCTATTGAGGGACTTTTGGGTTGTTTCCATTTTGGGGCTATTTTAAATAAAGCTGCCATGAACATTCATGTACAAGTCTTTTTGCATAAGCAAACATTTTCACTTCTCTTGACTAAATAACTAGAAGTGGAATTGCTAGGCAATATGCTTAACTTACAAAAGGTTGCCAAACTGTTTTCCAAAACAGTTGTCGTATCTTCATTCCACCTGTAATGCCATTCAGCTGCTCCACATCTTTGCTAACAGTTGGCAATTTGAATCTTCAGTGATTTGATTTAAATCTTTCAGCAAATTTATCCACTGCATTTAAGTTTTCAAAAGTATTAAATTTTAATATCTATGATCCTTTTCTTTTTTCTTAACCAGTCTAGCTAGATTTACCCATTTTTATCAATTAAAAATAGCTTTATGTTTTATTTTCTGTATTGCTTGTCTGTTTTGTATTTCAGATTTCTATTCCTGTCTTCACTTTTCCCTTCCTACTTACTTTGGGTTTAACTTATTCTCCTAGCACCTCAAATTGGAAGCTTAGAGAGTGACTTTACACCTTTTTTTCTCTTCTAATATAAACATTTAAAGCTAAAATTTTTCTGCTTTTATGCTGCACCCCGTAAATGATACGTTGTGATTTTAATTTTCATTTTTATTCATTTCAAAGTATTTTTCTAATTTCCCTTGTGACTTTATTTACCCATGGGTCATTTAGAAGTTTGTTGCTTGGGGGGGTGGTGGTGGGATGAATTGGGAGATTGGATTGACATATATACACTAATATGTATAAAGTAGATATCTAATAAGAACCTGCTGTATAAAAATAAAATAAAATTCAAAAAAGAAGGAAGTATGTTGCTTAATTTCAAAATGTTTGGGGGATTTTCCAAATATCTTTCTGTTATTCAATTCATAAAATATCTATCCAACAAATTGTTGAACTCACTTATTAGTAGCCATGGTTCATAACCAGATTTTCTTAGATTTTCTCTATGGGTAAGTATTTCATATGACAGTACAAATTTTACACTGGCCAGATCCTCCAGTGTCATGTTAAATTGCAGAGGCGATAAAAGGGGTGTCACGCGTCATTTTTCTGAGACTCTTCTAAGATTTCACCATTCAGTATGATGTTTGCTATAGGTTTTGAGGCATTACTGTTTAACAGGTTATTTATATGAGCAAAAATTGGATATTTGAGTGCATTTTCTACATCCTCCGATACAACACTATGGTTTTTTTTTCTCTTTTAATTTGCCAAAGTGATGACTTACACTGAAAATTTTCTGACATTATATCACTTTTGTAACTTTATTGCTCATTTTTAAAAATACAATTCTGAGTTCATTTTTGCTTGCTTTTTCGTTATTGTATTTTGATGGTGATTTTAATATACCTGAAATTTATTTGGGCATACAGTGTGAGGTGAAAACCAAAATATCGTTTATTTATTTATTTTAATTTTAATATAAAGGTTTTATGGTGACTTAAGGAAGCACAGAGTGAGCCTGTGGCCTTCGTTTCACGCGTCCTCGGCTCCCTGGTTCGGGGCCTCTGTCCTCAGGTCCAGCGGTTCCCACGTGGATGCAGGCTTCCAGCTAACCGCGGGCTCGCGCGTCCAGCGGGGGCACCCACCCGGGGTCTCCCCGCGACCAGGGCGGGCCGCCGGACCTGCGGCCGGAACCGGACCAGTTCCTCGCCGGGCTGCCCTCCCTGAACCAGCCGCCGCTCAGCGGAGGGATCTCCAGGCACCGCTCCGCGTAGGACGATGGGACGCGCCGGTCACGGGGGCTCTTGGGGCACCTGCGGCCGTCTGCTCCCGGGGTCCCCGTCCCCCCTTCCCCCCAGCTCAGCCTCGCCGACCCGCCGCCGGCTCCAGGGCGGCGAGGGCGAGGACTGTCCCGAGCAGGACCTTCGTCGTGAGGCAGTTCTCAGTGACTTGGACACTTTTCTGTCTTCGTCTTTCACGTGCAAGTGTCCAGAAGGTAGGAAAAAATTCCCGCACCGCCGGCGCCGATGGAAGGGCTCGCCCTGCGTGGGCGGAAAAGCTAAATGCATCCCATCTGGGTGGGTAGCAGCCGCCTCGAAACAACGCACCGGAGATGGTGGAACCTTCCGTCCCCCGAGGAGCGGCCCGAACAGCTCTGGCGGCTCTGCTGCTCCGCAGGGCGGTCGTGGGCGTCGTCGGAGGCCCCTGGGCTCCAGCCGGACCGGGCCGCCCCACCCGCTTGGCCACTTGTCGCCTCTGGGCCGCAGATGGACCTGGACGTGGCCTCTCGCTGTGAGTAAGCGCGCGCACTAGCAAGTATTCCTCCATGAGAGCAGTAACCTGGGAATGTTTCCAGTCACCCTTGGGTACACGCGGGAGGGAAACCCTTCAAGATTGCCGTGGCTGGTTTAGAATCATCCTCTTGAAGATTGTCCAGAGAAGCGGGTCATATGCACACCTCATTGGCTCTTTTTTTTTTTTTAGTAAATTTATTTATTTGTTTGTTTATATTTGGCAGCATTGGGTCTTCGTTGCTGCACGCAGGCTTCTCATTGTGATGGCTTGCTTCGGAGCACAGGCTCTAGGCGCGCGGGCTTCAGTAGTTGTGGCTAACGGGCTCAGTAGTTGTGGCTAACGGGCTCAGTAGTTGTGGCTAACGGACTTAGTTGCTCCGCGGTATGTGGGATCTTCCCGGACCAGGGCTCGAACCCGTGTCCACTGCATCGGCAGGCGGATTCTTAATCACTGCGCCACCAGGGAAGCCCCTCGTTGGCTCTTTGGTTACTTCATTACCCATGTCTGTAACTCACATCACCGTGATGATGTTGCACCCAAAACCCTGGTGAGGATCCTCTGAATTAAATCAAATCCAGCGCATGAGCAGGTACTGCCCAGGTGTGTGTACTCCAGATTGCTGGTCCACAGCTGCATCGGTGGACGGCGTCATGCTGCCCACCGTCCGAGGGTCTTCCCTCTGGGTGAGGCTGTCGTGCAGCAGGAAGCCTGTGTCACAGCCTGCAGGCTGCAGCAGCTGGGCCGGCGCCCCCAGCCCCCAGCCCGAGGAGCCAGGATTTCCGGCCAGCCGCCAGCTCCACTGAGCAAAATATAGTTTATCCTATAGCTAATTTTTCCTGTATTATCTATTGAATAATTCGTGTGTTTCCCGTTGGTGTGTGATCTAAATATTTTTTGTCTTTCTTTTAAAATATTTTAATTATCCTGTGGTTTTGATTAATGTATTTTAACGTTATTGTCCACTTCAGATTTTTCTTGAAAATAGATTATAAACAGGATATCAAAGAGTTTCTCATACAGGAAAACAAAAATATCACTCTCATAAGAGTGTTTCTTGACCAGAAATACTTTTCCTCAGTGAAAGGTAATTTTAGGTAAAAGGGAGCTCTGCGTATCTCTGCAAGAATATTTACTGCCTCCTATTACCATAAATGCATTTTAATTGACGGGGAAGGAAAGCAAGTCCAGTCTGGTCCACCTAAATGATAACACCGGTTGAAATCCAGCTTGAGCTGGGTCTGGGTAAGTGATCTCATTAGGAAAAACTCTCCAAGGACAAGGCTCTGACCCTCCAGAGCAGGCAGGATTGTGTGGCCAGTCCCAGGCCATTGCCAGGACGTGACCACTGTTCTCAGTTTGTGTGTATCCTTCCAGAACCAGGATGCATTCGCTTACATCTGTGTGTGTTGATCACACATACCTTCAAGAGTACAGAGGAGTGCTGCGGGGATGGGCATGGCCCGCTTTACACAGTGGCGTTACTTATTCTTTTTTTGTTTTTAAAGCATTCCCTTTATTTATTTATTTATTTTTAAATTTGGTTGTGCCGGGTCTTAATTGCAGCATGTGGGATCTTCGTTGCTGCATGCAGGATCTTTAGTTGTGGCATGTGAACTCTTAGTTGAGAATTGAGTGCGGGACCTAGTTCCCCAACCAGGGATTAAACCCAGGCCCCCTGCATTGGAAACGTGGAGTCTTACCCACTGGACCACCAGGGAAGTCCCTGGCGTTACTTACTCTTGATGGTTTTACTCAGCAATGCCTTGGAGATCTTTCCACGTGAGTTCACCTAGGTCCAAGTCAATCTGCACAGCTGATGAATGGTGTGCCATCAATGGGCAGCATCCTAACTTATTTAACCACCCCTGATTGACAGCCATCTGGGTTGTCGCCAGTTCTTCACTGTGACATTGAAAGAGCAATCTTTCAAGATAAAGTTGAAAGGTATCCCATGGCATATGAGGTTCTCTTCCATGTGTCCTCCATCTGACTCTGAAGTCTCACCTCCCAGTCGTGCAGCATTCCCGGAATAGTACGCTCCAAACTAGTCTAACACGATTTTCTGGCCTCCAAAGTTTATGCACATCAATCCTTCCCCCAGAAGGCCCACTCTCTTCTCCCCTTCTTTCTAAATTCGGCCTATATTATGAAGCCGTCTCACATCCCTGCTCTTTGTGAAGTCTTTCCTCTTCCTGGTCTCCCAGCCTACAATAATCTCTCTTTTTACAAATACCTGCTACATTCTATGCCACTCAGTCAATATTTGTACAGTCGCTTGAATTGTATTTCATGAGGTTAATAATCCTGCTTAATCCTGAGGTCTCCAACTAGAAGTACTTGAAGCCAGAGAAATTCTCTCCCCTTTAACTGACCTGCCTGGCTCTATTTCCTTTCCTCTCCAGGCATCCTTTTCTCTAAATCCAAACAAATCTGTCCCCGTTATTCCTCTGCTCACAAACTGACAGTGATGCTGTCATTCTCCTAAGGAACATTCCCAGCCTTCCTCAGATTCAGTGTCACAACAAGGTGACCTGACTTGGGCCCACAAAAGCTCTTGCCGTTTCCATTTCTCCACCCCCAGTAGATCCCACGGCCCATCGTCTGTGCACCTGAATCATCGATCTGGACAAGCTATACCACGTGGAAACAAGGAGTTCCCAGCTAGCACCACAAAGGGTTTTCTGCGTCATGCCATGCCAGGTGTGGGTCTGGCGGCCTCTTTGGCGGCTCCTCCAGCGCCTCTGCTGCCCCAGGTCCTCACATGCAGCCACTCAGATGAAAGAAGGAGCATGCTGAAGGCTCACACTTGCTCCTAACTACTCTACCCAGTGGCCCCCGGCCTCCACTCAGCCCAGCAACACTGCTTGTCACATGGGCAACGTGACTGGAAAGAGACTGGGGGGACGGGGCACAGGTAGGATGTGGGAAGGGTACCAGCTGCCTCTGCACGGCGCCCTCATGCATTGATGGATCAATCTGGATACAATTTTCCCTGCTAAAGCACATGTCAGTTCCAACCATGCAGACAGGTGGCTTTTTTTTTTTCTGGTTGCGCCGGGTCTTAATTGCGGCAGGCTGGCTGCTTAGTTGCAGCTCACAGGCTCCTTAGTTGCGGCTTGTGGGCTCCTTAGTTGTGGCATGAGAGCTCTTAGTTGCAGCTCCCCTGCATTGGGAGCTCAGAGTCTTAACCACTACGCCACGAGGGAAGTCCTGACAGGTGCCTTTGAGAATACAGACAATAAGCAAATGTCCCCCGCAAGTAAAGAAAAAAACAATGGGGGGACTTCCCTGGAGGTCCAGTGGTTAAGACTCCACACTTCCACTGCAGGGGGCACGGGTTCGATCCCTGGTCGCGGAACTAAGATTCCGCATGCCGCATGGTGTGGCCAAAATAAAAAGGGAAAGTGAAATTAGAGGACTGAAAATGAAGAGTAAGAAAATGTAAGAAGCAAAATGCTTGAACTGAAAAACTAAAGATAAAAATGAAAATGTATATTAAAAAAAATTAAAAGATGGGACAAAAAAATGAAAGCCAAAGATTCAGAAAAAGCCCTGAGGTTTTCCAGCTTCCAGTGGCCACCGGCTGGGTGAGGCTGGATGGAGCCTGGCTCAGATCAGCAGGGGTGGGTCTTTCCACAGTTGCTAGATTTAATGGGCATCCCAAGACCTTTCACCCGCCTTCTCCTCCATAAGCATACCTCAGTGTGGAATTATGCTAACTATTCTGGAATTGCCTCTCCAGACCAGTTTAACAGTTTGCTTAAGCCAGAGAGATGCAGGGCTGAGATTCATGGAAACAGGAAGTGGTCCAGGATCACCACTCCTGCCGTGTTACCCCCTCTGCCACTGAACAAACATGAAGGGCATCTTCCAAGAGACCTCGTGGTCACCTACACTGCCACTATGTGCACTTTGGAAAGCCAAGCTGCCAGTACAAACGCATTTATTTATTTTTAATAATAAAAATTATTAGGTGGCCTCGTGGCCACCCTACACTGCACAACCAAATTTAAAAATAAATAAATGCGTTTGTACTGGCAGCTTGGCTTTCCAAAGTCTTTCCAGAAGCCCACATCACGGCAAGGGTGAGTCTCATGCCTGCCAGACCACAAGTCTTTGAGCACAGAAGCGGGCTTGCTCCTGCCTTGATCCCAACTCTGTGTGTCTCAGTGCTGTTTTGTGTGGACATAGTGGGAAGTACCTTACGTCAGAGTCCCCAACCTTTTTGGCACCAGGGGCCAGTTTCGTGAAAGAAAATTTTTCCACAGAGCGGAGGTGGGGGATGGTTTGGGGATGATTCAAGCGCATTACATTTATTGTGCATTTTATTTCTATTATTATTACATTGTAACATATAATGAAATAATTGTACAACTCACCATAATGCAGAATCAGTGGGAGCCCTGAGCTTGTTTTCACTTGCCACTCACGGATAGCGTTTTGATATGAGTCGCAAGCAATTGATTTATTATGGTCTCTGTGCAGTCAGACCTCTCTGCCAGTGATAATCTGTATTTGCAGCTGCTCCCCAGTGCTAAGCGTCACCGCCTCAGCTCCACCTCAGGTCATCAGGCATTAGACTCTCATGTACAGCGGACAACCTAGATCCCTCGCACGCGCGGCTCACAGTAGTGTTCGCACTCCTATGAGAATCTAATGCCGCTGCTGATCTGACAGGAGGCGGAGCTCAGGCGGTAATTCGAGTGATGGGGAGCGGCTGTAAATACAGATGGAGCTTCACTCACTAGCCTGCCGCTCACCTCCTGCTGTGCAGCCCGGTTCCTAACAGGCCATGGACAAGTACTGGTCCGTGGCCCAGGGATCGGGGACCCCTGCCTAACATGATACAAACTAAAACCAAGACCAGCCTTCAACAAAATTGGGAAGTAAGCAGAGTTTATCTTGCCCGTTCTCCCCACCTCTGTGCCCCCATGACCCCAGCTTCACCCTTCTTGTCACGGTCTTGCCTTCAGCTGACTGGCACCCCTCTAAAATGACCAG